AAGCAATATACTGCTTAACGCAGTGTCTTAATTCAGCAGGCAAGCTATCTGTGATAAAGGTTTGTTTATAAGCAATAATGGGAAAGTCATTTTGAGGCCATGCTGATAACACTGATGAGAAATTTTTTTTTTAAGGGGGAAAAATACACAATTCAATACGTAAATGGATCCGCAAGCCCCGTGCTCATGGGTCTTTTTGTCGAGCGTGGCTGTCCTGAGTGGTCATTTTCCTTTGGCATTGCCGTCCTTCGTGAACACCCTGCCCTGTGGTCCTGGGCACATTGAACCCAAGTTGCCCTCCTGCCTGGAAACCACATCTTCCCTATTGCCAAATTGACTTCTCTGCCAAGTCCTTAAGAAAACCAGGTCGTGGGAGCCTGGTGAATTCGGCTGCCCAGCTGGCTACCTGCTTTCCAAGGAAAAAGGGAGCTTGCCTTTAACAACTGTTTTCATCTTCGCGAGGCCCAAAGCGCGCTCCCTTAAGGATGTCAAGGTAGAAGAATGTTAGGAAGCGGGCATTTGAAAGGGAGCTAACTGGTTAGGTGGTGGGTGAAACTGGAGATTTTGAAAGGGTAGGTAAAAACCAACTTGGATTTTTTTTCCTTGGCAAAACTTAAGAGAAAGGTGTCGTGTTTTGTGTTGACTCAGGATGCCGAGATGATTCAGAGCTCTATTAACACTAGTAGAAACATTTGTCTAAAGGATTTGCCTTCATCTGCTTAGGGATGTTTTATTTAAAGATGAACATTCTCTAGTCACCTCATGAGTTTATCTCAATAGGAAAGGCATCGCTTTTGGAAAGGGGCTGAGGAAATGCTACTCGAAGGATCAGGAAATATTTGCCAGTGGTCTAAGACAGGTGTTCATAAGACCATCATCTGTCAGGAAAGACCAAGAAAGTCAGGGCTTGGTGAAGCTAAAAGGGGCTTACCTGAACCCCCTTCATAAGTAGTGACTGCTTCTTGAAGTCTTTTCATGGAGCCGGCGCTGTGTTGGGTGATATAATACCATTTCATCTCCACTGTGCAGATGAAGAATCTGGATTCAAGAGTGTGCACAACTTTGATCAAAACATGGAGCTGGTGGGCGCCTGGGTGGCTCAGTCAGTTAAGCATCCGACTTCTGCTCAGGTCATTATCTCAGTTTGTGGGTTCGAGTCCCGCGTTGGGCTCTGTGCTGACAGCTTGGAGCCTGGAGCCTGCTTCGGATTCTGTGTCTCCTTCTCTCTCTGTGCCTCCCCTACCTGTGTTCTGTCTCTCTCTCTCTCATAAATAAATAAACATTAAAAAAGAAATTAAAAAAAAACCATGGAGCCGGATGAGTTCCTTCTTGTATTTATGATGGGTAGCTTTCAGAGATGGCCTCGGTGATCCCTGTCACGTGGTAATTCACCCCTTGATTGTGGCCTGGACCTTCTAGTGAGTAAAATACAGAAAACGTGATGGGGTGTCATTTCTGTGATTTGGTTACAAAAGATTGTGACTTCCTTTTTGCTGATATTTTTTTCTTCTTCTTTTTTAAAGAACTTTTTTAATGTTTATTTTTGAGAGAGAGAAAAACAGAGACAGAGAGAGGCAGAGCATGAGTGGAGGCAGGGCAGAAAGAGAGTGAGACACAGAATCTGAAGCAGGTTCCAGGCTCTGAGCTGTGAGCACAGAGCCTGACTTGGGGCTTGAAATCACCGGCTGTGAGATCATGACCTGAGCCGAAGTCAGATGCTCAGCTGACTGAGGCATCTGGGCGCCCCAGTATTTTTTTTCTTGCCTTCTCGCCATGCATGCATTGTAGACATAAGTCACCATGTTGGAGATGCCCACTTAGCAGAGAACTGGGCATGAAAAGCTACTGAGGGGCTGAATGAATTCTGGCCTGGGAGCAGGTCTTTCCCCAGTCGAACCTTGAGATGAACTGACGTCCTGATAGGTGCACCCTGACCATAGCCTGCAAGAGAGAGCCTGAGGAAGAGGCCCCAGCAAAGCCATAGCTGGGTTCCTGGCCCACAGAAACGGTGAGATAATACAGTTGTTGTGGAAGGCCCCTAAGTTTGGAGATCATTCATATGTCGGTCATAGACAACTAAAACTGCATTTTCAAGGACACAATGTAGCATGATGCAAGGAATTCGACACACCTGATAAAAATCCAACCTCAACATTTTGACCAAATTGCCTCCCATCTTAGTGTCACCTGTAAAGCCGAGGCGTGGAAACCTATGCTGCAGGGGTGCATAAGAATGGAAGACCTCTGTCTCCTGGGGACTGCTTGGCTCATTCATAAATGGTAACTTATTGTTATGATTTCACATGTGACCGTGAATTAAAGTCCTGCTCCCCAGTCCTTTATCACTGCCTAACTCACCTGTTAATTGCTTGTCCTCCTGGATACTTTGCTACCATGTCCTTTCTTCTGTCCGCAATTTCTTCTCCACCTTTCAGAAATCCACCTGTCCTTCAAGGCTTGATTGACATCCTCCCTCTTCCAGGAAGTTGTCTCCTGTCACCACCGTATTTTGTGAGCTTTCTTTCCTCTGTCAACCTCCATTATTGGGACCAATTCTTGGTCCTTGTTTCCTGTATCGCAAGGGCGTGTGTACGCACGTGTGCGTGTGTGGAGGGAACGAGGGATGTGCCGCTTCAACTATCCCAACTCGGAGAATGGGGCTGCTTCAGAGAATGGTTGTGCAATATCACAGACTGCCCTGAGCATGTATCTCAAAGTCAGGTGGGTCAAGATGTAAGCTCAGCTCTGAGCCTCACTCACTAGGTGACCTCTACAGCGGTGTTGGACTTCTCTAAGGGTGGTAACTGTGGGCATGTTGGGATCCCACTCAAACCTTTTTGTGACTTCCTGTGACACTTGTGTAAAGTTCACAATCTCTCCTGTGACTTGTAGGACTTGCCATGATCGGACTGCTCCAGTTTCCTCTTGGATGATTTTGTCTTTCACACACAGCATCGACCAAACTGGCTTTTGATGTCTCAAGCTTCTTCCCGTCCTGCCTCAGGGACTTTGCATGTGCTGTTCCCTCTGCTAGGTACACTTTCAACCTCCTCTTTATCTGGCTAACTCCCACTCTGTACTGAGGCCTCAAACTACACATTGCTCCTTCGTGAAAACCTTTCATGACTTCTGCAGGCTTGTCTGGGTCCCCACAGCTTGCTGTGTGTTTCCTTCTTAAGGCTTGTCACAATTGTAGGGAATGAATTGAAATGAACTAGCTAATTTTTAAGAGGGTGATTCTCTGATTTATTTTATCTCCTTCACTAGACTATAAGTTAAAGGAGGGCAAAAATAAATAAGTAAGTAAGTAAGTAAATAAATAAATAAATAGCAAGCAAGAAAAAGAAGAAGAAGAAGAAAAGCTTGGCTTGTTCACTGATGTAACTCCAGGGCCTAGAATATTCCCTAGTACGGGAAAGCCACTAAGTAAAGATTTCTGGAATAAACATCGAATGAATACATAAATTAATGGTTTTCTTAGCTGTAAGATGGAAGGAAAATATCTATCTTACAGGATTTGGGGGAGGAGTGGGTGAATAAATGTTCGCTAATTTAGGGGGGTGTTGAGGAAGCCTTGGGGTTCTGTCCTACAGACTCACAAATAGGATGGACGCCCCAGCGTCTCATCGCAATCCCCCCCCCAGAATCTCCTTGATGATGTGTTAGAGAGTAACGCCACCTTTTCTGAATATTATACACGGAAGCCAGAGGGGGTGCTGAAGTTGCACACATCATAGCACACAACGTTTGAGAGTTCTCTCTGTCCCAAGGCCCCTCCTTTGTGAGGTCATCAGGAGATGCCGTCTTCTGGAGCCCTTTCCTGTGGAGTGATCCGTTCTGCTTTCCATCTGCTCCAGGAGCAGGGAACCTTTCCTTCCACTATGGACACAGTATCTCCTTCCTTCCTTATTAGACTTGGTATTGGAAAGTAGACACTTGCATCTCACCTGTAGCAGGCTTATCAAATAATGCCAGTGAAGGCAACTCTCTCCGTAAAATGAATCTCTGTTCCTTCTGCTAAAAAAAGACCATGTCTTCATAATTACCCAAATCACCCAGTAAGGATCTGGGTTATATTAAGTATGTATCAATATCAATTTCCTTATCCCACATACAAAGGCATTCACTAGAAAGAAAGAAATTATAAGTAGATGCTAGAGAGGGGGTCAGAAAGCAGTTGGTGGTGGCGGGGTGAAGGATCTCTGGAAGACAGGCTGTGGAAACACCCTCACTGGAGGGCAGAGGCCCTGCCACATAACTTCCGAGACTTCTAAGGTCACACCCTTGGTCCAAGTGCACGCTGGTTGGTTTGATCTCTGGCCCGATACCCAAGAAAGGGAAGACAGCATCCGGCACAGCTTAGAGAGCTTAGGATGACCAAGCTCTTCCTGGCAAAGGTCAGGAGGCAGGTGACTGACCCAGCACAACACTATTCCCCAAGCCCTTCTTCTTCCCACCAGAAGTCAACCAGCATATATACATACCAGGAAATGTGCTTTTTAAATTGACAATCTCTGGGCTGGACTATCATCTGTGTGAGGGCAGGCTCTCTGTCACATACCTTTGTTTCTCCGGGGTCCAGCACAGCCCTGGCATATGATGACCACTTCTCTCTCCTCACTCCCATGCTTTTTCCTATAATGATAGCTCAGAAAGTCTTAAAAGCAGGCATTTGGCTATCTCTGGATCCGCCCTTTAACCCTTATGACCCCATCATACTCTTCTCAAAGTTCTGCAATCACACCCATTGGCATTCTCGTAACCTCCCCAGCCTGAAGGGCTGTGATTGTCTCATCAGACGGGTTCTACTAAATATGGGACTCCAATACATTCAGAAGCACCAGCTTCTGTTTCGCACGCCATGTCCATTTGACAAGAGTGAAGTGGATTAATTAACGTGGTGGGTCTATCTTCTACCCAGCTGTCTTGTGCTGCAATGGAGAGCAAGAAAAATCCATTAGATTATAGTGTGAGATAGCTGAAAGAAAGTTTAGATTAAGTTTATCTCTTGAGGCAATTTTATTAGATAGATTAAGTTTCTGTTCATCTCTCCAAAGACCGTAGTAATAACCAGTGTCATGACTTTCAAATCCTTCGACTGCAGAGGGTAATCAAACATGGTTGTCTTTTTATCCCGTCTTTTACTTCTTAGTATTCCACAATCCTGCCTCGTCCATCTGTCAAAGGGATAGTGGTAAGGGGATCAGTGTTGACAAGTGATAGTACAAATTATGTAATGCTGATGACATTTCACTGTCTCCTTCTGATCCGCTATTCCTCCTCTCAATCACTCCTTATTCTATAAAAAGCACTGAAAGAGAAAGGCAGCTGTGGAAGCTATTGGCTCAAGTCTCTGAGCCTCAGGGGCAAAACGGGGTGAATTTGAAGTGTACAGAAGGCTTCTGAATTAGACTTGGGGCTTGGAAAGATGGCCTGACTGACAGAACGGGAAATTGAGGTCATCTTCCTACAACAGGACTTTGGCAGCCGCCACCCGGGACCGCATTTGGTCATGCTGTGGTCCCATGAAAAACTTGACGTGTCAGGCCCATGGTGGCGATGGGCTTTCTGTTCCAAGAATATGCCCTCTGACTTCTCCTCTGCGGGGGAATTCCACTCTTCCTTTTGGGCACTCAGTACAGTGTGATTCTTAAAAACATTTTTTAAATGTTTATTTTTTAGAGAGAGAGAGAAAAAGAGAGAGAGAGAGAGAGTGAGCAGGGGAGGGGCAGGGCGAGGGGTACAGAGAATCTGAAGCAGCTCCAGGCTCTGAGCTCTCAGCACAGAGCCCATCGTGGGGTTTGAACCCACAAACCGTGGGGCCATGACCTGAGCCAATGTCTAGCGCTTAACCCACTGAGCCACCCAGGCGCCCCGATACAGGGTAATTTAAAAGGAAGAATGAGCTGGTTCTGTAGGAGCAGAAAACAAGGGTAGCAGGAACAGACACAAGAAGTACTCTTTTTCCTGGGGTGGGGAATATGAAGTTAGGGGTCTGGACACAATGGTAACAAGGGACCAAATAATAAGACTCAGGTTTAAAGTCTGACAGATGAGCCTTTTTGCAGACACGACCTCAGTCCTCTCTCATAAAGCCTCCATTCATTTGGAAGAATCTCTGTGAGGATGATACTCCCAGACTCCATCTCCCTAAACAGACCTAAAGAAGAATGGCCATTCACGTACTTACCAACTAGGAGAATTCATGAATCTTTATGAAAACCTGTCTTGTGTAGTCATATTTGGTCTGGGACTTACCTGAGGAGTCCTATGATATGACACACGGCAGGAGATTAGTTAACGATTTTGTGATTCTTTCAGCTAAGTAGACTTTGTTTCCAGTCCTGGAGTTCCAGAGTGGTGGGTGACTGCAGCAAGGTTTGATAGCAGACTCATTTGTTTCAGAAACATTTATTAATCACATACTATGTACTAGGTGCTTTTCTGGGCACATAAAGAGTCTCGATGGTCAGCAGTTTGTCAGTTCGTGGAGGGAAGTAGCCCTGTTACCCTCAATGTTGGTATGTCCGTGACCTGCCATGGTATCTGGAACAAAACAGGCCATCATACAGTGGTTCTTGAATGAATGAACCGGCGAATGCATACCAACCCCTAGTCTCCTTCCCAACCACCAGCCTTGAGTTCCTGAGAGGCTGTCTTTACTGGAAAAGTTTCTCAAGGCTGGGGAAAACCCTATCATTCACGAACATCAGTCAAGGCCAGGAGGCAGAAAATGGATTCAAGACCACATTTCACCATGAAGTATTCTTTAGAATGTAAAATAAAAACAAATAGAATTTTATTAATCTGCTTTTGCCTACAGCCCGGAAAAGCCCTTGTGTCAAAAATACCCGCCTCTAAATTATGCTTTGTCTTTCCATTATAAATTTTATTAACCACTCTTTTATTAGCAGTCTTATTACAGTTGATCTGCACATGAATGGAAACAATTTACAAATGATCAGGGCTGGATTAGAGAAACCATAAACTCAATGCAAATTGTTACAAATTATTTACTGGCTTAGCACAAATCTGCATTTAGATGGAGGAAGTCAATCAGAAAGGTACCTTCAGGTATTCTTCACAAGATAGGATTGTGAAGATATTGCAGACTGGCACGCATCGTGCAGAATAGAAATGAAAATAAATAGATTCATTTGTCAAATACACATAGATGTGAGGCTCCTCGATCAGAACTTTGGAGTGCTGGATATCTGGGAAAACTGAAGAGGGGTAGGAAGTTGGGGGTGGGGGAAGGTACTTTAAAGTGGGCTTACTCTAAATATAAGGTCAAGAATCAGAGAAAAGGAGATTTCAGAAACAGAAAAACAAAACAAAACAGAAACATTGACCCAGCACCTCCTAGAAGCTGACAGAATATTCCTCGTGTTTCCTCCCATTAATCTTCCAGTCACTCTTTAAAATGGGGAGGACCATACCTGTAGTTTGTCAGTTGAAGTTTTGTAACTCGGCCAAAGTCACACAGCCATCAGGACTTGGATCTTAAAACTCCATGCCTACATCTTGGGATTCATCAGTGGAAGTATTGCCTTTGTTTTTGGCGCCGGTCTTTGGGGGGAAGGATGGTGGTGGTTGGGGGCCCTTGGGCATAGCTCTGGAGTCCTTACTCTCTGCCAGCACTGTAAGACTTGGACTCATTTCTCTTGTACCTTGACTCTCCTTTACGAGAAGGACGATGTGAGGAGATTCATGATTTCATGCCAAGAACATGTGGTCAAACATTTGGGAGCGTGAGTGCCTCTATCCAACTTGCTGTGTGACCTGAGACAGTTTTTAACTCCTTCTGGGACCCTATTTATTCAGGGGGATAGAATTAGGTTTCTTTGAATTTTCTGAAAGTTCACTGAACTTAAGCTCATGGCCAGAAGACATGAATACTAGTGTGTATCCTCTGCAGACTCACATCATCCCTTGGCAAGGGGGAAACTGGGCAAAAGCAGAGTTCCTGTCCCTTATTACCACCTATTGTGGATGCGTTGCTTATTTCCCTTTTCTAGTATTTCAGTTTTCCTCCTTCAGTCAAAGCTGCTTTTAGGTTATTTTTCATTTGCAGTAACTCTTCTCCCATGGATATTTGGCTTTTAATGGAGAGTAGTCTTCATCTAAGGGATGAAACCCTTAGTGGTAGACATTTCAGGTCTCTTCATTAGATGGGAAGTTTTGGAGGACTCAGGGACTTCTCAGGATGCCGAAAATGCAGCTATGAATGCAGTAATTTATTCCTTTAGATCCCATGGCTAGTATGGTGGAGCTGTAGGGGTGGGGGTGGGGTGAGGATGGGGGCCATACCACTTTCCTTCTTCCCTGGAGGAAATTTTATCTGCCCTCCTTGTGGTCATTTCGTGGGTCAATGACAAGTGTAAATAGTACTAAAAGGGATACTCCCCCATCTTCTTACCAGCTAGGGGACCCATATCACTTCATATGAAGCATGAGCATAATTGTATTAATGGTAACAAGAGCCACATCGATTAGATGCTAACCACAGGCCAGCATGAGCTCATAGTTTACATGCTTTATTTTATTGAATGCTCATGAAAGCTCTATGATCTGGGATTATGTTTTCATCCCCTCTTACAGATAAGAAAGTAGAGATTTTGTTGGGGAGGGGGAGGATTTATTTAATCACATAGGGAATTAGAAAAGATGGGACTCCGTCTCAGTTCATTCTACCTCCAAACTCTACATCCTTAATCAATAAACTATACTAATCTCATGAGTTTGAAATATATGGGACTGGACCAGCCGTACTTCATAGATCTTTTCCATCTCAAAGATATAACTAATAAATTCCTAGAGTTGGCGATTCTTTTGAGAGCTTCTGGCCCAACACCCTCTGTTACAGGTAAGGAAACAGGGGCAATTAGGAATTTTTAGAAACACGTATGAAGATAAGGACATTGGAAATGGCATTGGAAGCAACTGGGCACTGGGCAGGCAGAAAATGTTGACTTTTTCTCCTCTTATCCAGATCCTCCACACCCAATTAAGGATGTTGTGCACTTCACAACTCTACTGGGTGCCATTTGCATGGACCGCATGGTGATACACTGTCCCTCTTTTTTTCAGTTCCCCTTCCCTGTCATGTATGACCAGCACATTTTCTTATCTTCTTATGATTTTATTTCGCAGCTATTTCTAAGAAAGAAGAGAGCTTGCATCCGTCTTTCTTTTCCTTTTTCTTTTTCCTGAAAGAGAAGCCTGCAGCTTGCAGAGACTTGGATTGCTGGCATCGCTGACTTTGGAGGTTGCCGGCTAATCAATCAGGAGCTGCATTGTGAATGCCTGGCATGGATTTTCTTTTTTCTTTTCATCCTTTGTGCGCGCTGTGCGTGCATGCGCGTGCATGTGCATACCACTTTGGTGCCTTCCCACCAGCAAAGGACTCCGGAGCTGGATGTAATTAAACAGCAGCCGCGTACTGTATTCAGGCTTGCTTTGCACGCAGATCTTCCCCCTCGCTCCACTTACAGATGCCCCACCAGCCCTGTGCTCTGCCTTCATTAAACAGCCTGCTGACTGGTCTCCCCAGGACGGGGATCTGGGGTCTGGGGCTCACGAGGGAAGTGCACACCGCTGTTAGCAAGCCTCCAGGCCGCAGCGTGCAGTGAGCTGAGTCAACAGCACTTCTGCGGAGACTCGTGGCCATGACACCGGTGACCGAGGCTCTGTGCCTCTTGGAATGCTCAGCCAGAGTCCTCAGGAGTTGAATTCGGATAAAACTGGAAGGTAAACTAATTATAGTGGGGCCGTTTGTGCTTCTGTGGTTTACCTTATGTCAGCGTTTCCAGGTTAAACTGCCTTCTTCAGGGATTTCAGAATCTGCTTTAAACGTCTCTTTCCACTACTGTTCACCCTGCTTCCTAATCTAGTTCCATTACAGGTTCTGATATTTATTTTTTTTTTAATTTTTTAATGTTTTATTTATTTCTAGGAGAGAGAGAGAGAGAGACAGCGTGAGCAGGGGAGGGTCAGAGAGAGAGGGAGTCACAGACTGAAACAGGCTCCAGGCTCTGAGCTGGCAGTCAGCGCAGAGCCCGACGCGGGGCTCGAACCCACGAACCGCGAGATCATGACCTGAGCGAACCGACTAAGCCACCCAGGCGCCCCTACAGGTTCTGATATTTAGACAAATGGACTTGATCACCACCCTTATGGTGGCTCAGGTGCAGATGTGTTTTATATGCACACACGCATGCGCACACTCACAAAAAAGCAAATGCACGTGGACGCCGTTTCATTCAAGATGGCTGCGGTTGTGACACAAACTCACATCAAACGGGCCAAAGGAAATGTACATAGATCGGCATCTGTGTCATCCCTGGGACTCCAGTGCGTTGTGAGGACTTTGTCGCTCTGACCCTGCATTTCTCAAACGGGCTCGTCTCGGCCACACATCATTCCTCACAAGGGGAACCTCCCCATGGTAAGCAAGATGGCTGCCAGGAGCTGTGAGGCAGAAAGCGCCCATCTCTCGGATTAACGTCAGGGGGTAACGATTGGTCCTGCCCGGGGTCACGTGCCCAGCCCTGAGCCAATCATAATAGCTGTGGGAGGGATTGGGGCCTGGCTGGCCTGTGTCACAGAGCCACGGAGTGTGATTGACAGCCCAGGTCATGTGCCCATCCCTGAGCCAATCACAACGACTGTGGGAGGGATCAGGGATTGGCAGTCAGGGTCAGACACCGAGAGAGGGAGATTGACGGCCGTGTCAGGACCGCACGCAGTGGAGAACCTGCACTCTGTTGCTTCCTGGTGGTGTGGCTGGGCAATGCCCTTCACTGCCCTGCTCTGTTCCTCCAACCGTGGACGGAGTGGCATATCATTCATCTCACAGGGACTATTAAGGATGAAATGAAATAATAATACCTATAATGACCAGTTATTAGGGAGCAGCTGATAGTAGATACTAGATACTTAATAGGCACTTTCTTATCGAGTTAGTCATCCCCAGAGCACGTGGTGTGGGATGTGAATAAAAAGGCCTGGTGCTCATATATGTGTGCAAAATAAGCAGGTTTTCTTACTAGAGGGCTACTTGGAGCCTTTGGCACAAACATCCCAAAGCAATTATCAAACCACTTTTACTCTGCATGCTTTCTAGTGGTGGATCCTTTTAGGATAATAATGTCCCACATTACCCAGTTTGGGAGGCAAGTTTTCTAATATTCTAAAGACTAAATTCTAACTAAAGGCAGACCAGGGAGCATTTGTACCTCGCTTGTCTTATTTTGGCCCCTTCTAACCATTTGTACAGAATTTCTCTGTACAAGTTTCCCTGTGAGAAAATGTGATGCTCAGAATTAAAAACACTGCATTATTGTGAGATGTGGTTGGGTCATACAACAGTGTTCGCATCCAGACAAACTGCTGTCAGCCTTCAGTGTCAGGAAAGTGTGCACCTCATCCAAGCATAGAAGTTACGATTTTATGGAGACCATTTCCCTTGTTGCTTTGGCTGCCAGGGAGCTCAGAGTCAAAAGTAAGCCCCAATTGGAGCACGTGTGCAGAACTTTTGTCACACGTTTTGCCTGTGACTCCATCCCTGACTATCTCTTCTTTTCCTACTCCTTATATTCCTTTTACTCTGATCTTAACAATTATTGATATTTATCTCGTTTTCTTTATCTAGGGGACTCAGGTCTTTGTGGTGTTGAGATGGGGCTCAATAAATAAATAAACAAATAAAATGCAGGTGGGATCTCAGGGGCCTTTTTCTGCAAAGATAATGTTGGCGGTGCTAATACCCTTTTCTCCTTCACCGCTAATGTCTTGGCTCTGCTTGGAGCCACTTGCCCAATTACAGCGCCAAGCTCCTGTTTTACAAGGCTTCCTTTGAGCACATCTAATCAGGAACAGCTTCTCACTGCAGTCTCTTTGTTCACTGACTGGAACCTTGAATGCCTCGCTTTGCCTAATAAATAACCCAGGGGCTCAAACTTGGCCTTAGCCTTTATTTAGAAAATGGAACCGGAGCAGCTCTGAAGCGTATTCAAAGCCAAGGCCGTTGGAAGGTCAGACATCTCTCAGGCATTTCAGGAAGGTTGTATACTGCTCCGTTTCCCCACACAGTTATTGGACATTTTCCATTGAGCTCTCAGAACTTGCTCCTACCTTGGCACGGACAACCCTGGATACACCCCCTGGTGTAGGGATTGCTCGGCGACTCATTCCTACACCTGGGCGCGGACTCCAGAGTGACTGCCGGCGACGTGCAGGGCTAGGCTCCATCCGAGGAACATCTGTGAAGTCTCAGTTACTCTGATCCTCCCTGTTTTTCAGCTCTCAGCACTAGATGACAGCAATCAAAGGCCCCCGGAGCAAAGAGACCATGATCTGAAAATGGCCCCTGGCTGGTTCCAGACCTTTGTTCAAATCCTGGCTTCACTGCTGTGTGCCGTGAGAGTTTCGACCAGTTCCCTTAAGGCTCTATGTTTCAGTTCCTTCATGGATAAAGTGTGTCCCTCACAGTGTGGGGGAAAGGAACTGGGTTAATACCTGTCTTCCTTCTGCCCTCATTGACCTAGTTAACTGCTCTGCTTTCTCTTGAGATTTTGGTTTAGGAGATGGGACCTCGTGGGAAGGCTTCCCTGATCTTTCTGGCTGGGGCATACCCCTTATTACAAGTTTCCGTCATACGAAGTACCTTCCTCCGCTCTTCCCCCCCAGTACTTGTCCCCGGGGCATTTTTATTACATGTGCTTCCACAATTATTCCTGTAGACTGCAGCCTCTGTGCGGACAGCCACTGGGGTGGCTTCTGTTCATCACTGCGTCCTCCGTGCTGGCCTCTGGGTGGGCATATAGGAAGGGCCCAGGAAAGAAAGAACAGTGAGTGGGGTGCCTGGGTGGCTCAGTCAGTTAGGCGTCTGACTCTTGATTTCGGCTCAGGTTTGTGAGTTTGAGCCCCACATTGGGCTTTGCACTTGACAGTGCAGACCCTGCTTGGGATTCTCTCTCCCCAATCTCTCTGCCCCTCCCCTGCTTATATTCTCTCTCTCTCTCTCTCTCTCTTAAAAAAAAAAATTAACCACATTTAAGAATGAACAGCGAATGAATGAATGAAGAAGGTGTGTTGACAGTGTCGTTCAGGATCTGCAGAGGGACGAGAAGAGGGTGTGAGTTTGGGGTTCGGACATTAAATGGATGAGCAAACGTATCTTTGTGACACGAATGAAGCTGGAGAGTCACCCAGAAACGAATTTCAACTTTGCTAGGACGGAAGTTTGCCCCCCCTTACACCCCATTTCCTGGACATAGCAGCCTACAGGCAGACAGCTTCTAGTTTGGAGCCCTTTCGCCCACACCCTTACCAACCCCAGCTCAAGTGAGACCGTATGCTCGTTATTTATTATACCGGTCTGCATATTGAGATAATTGGGTTGTGTAATACGGCACACAGACTAATCTAAGAATGATTTCTGCTGAATAGAAATTACTTATTTTGATTCCTCGGGGGTTTGTTTTGTCAAAACTCATGTAGTATTTAGCAAAGTAATCATTGTTCAATTGCTGAGCACAGGAAGTGTAAAATCATCCTAATAAGAATGAAAGGAATAAGAGAATGAGTGTCACTGACCTCGTCAACTTGATTAGTGACGGTGTTCCATTGCGTTCTCGAGGCCTAACCTCCACGCCGCCTGTGAAGATCACCATGTACTTCTCTATCTCACTGGCCCTAATTAGATATGCAATTTGTCATACGGTTGTTCAACCAGAATAGAGACAAACAAAGAAGAGACAGAAGAGGGAGCATGTTACTGAAATTCACAAGAAAATTGCTCAATAGCAAATCAATACCCAAACTGGAAAGGGAGTTTTGAAAGCAAAGAGACCGGATTTTCCGAATCCAGAGACAGGCTGTGTGACCTTGAATTAGTCACTGAACCTCTCTGAACCCAAGTCCTTCATCTGTCCGATGGAGTTCATAATAACACATTCCTGAAGGAAGCTCCTTATAACCAGCATCCGGTTGTGTCCATCTGCCTCATTCCAGAGAGCTGTTGACCATTTGGTTGCTTTTTGGGCAACTTTGAAGTAACACATATGTTCATGGAAATCTTTTTTTTTTTTTAATGTTTATTTTTGAGAGAGAGAGAGAGAGAGAGACCAGGTGCAAGTGGGGGAGGGACAGAGAGAGAGGGAGACAACCTGAAGCAGGCTCCAGGCTCTGAGCTGTGAGCACAGAACCCGATGCGGGGCTCAGACTCACGAACTGCGACACCATGACCTGAGCTGAAGCTGGACGCTCAACCCACTGAGCCACCGAGGTGCCTGCAAGTGGGTTAATGTTAATGACAGTGTTACTCTTAATGCTAGTGTTGTTGCCATCCGCCCCTTGGGGAGAGGATTTCCAGGCCTTTGAAGGACCAGAGCTAGGAAATGGGGGGGCTGCCGGGGGCTGGTGTATCGTAACGGAGAGGGGCCTGCAGCCAGGGGGCAAAGGAACACCACCAGCTGTCGGAGGCCTTCTTTGTCTTGCTTCCCCTCCCAGGAAATAAAATGGCCTCCGCAAATGCCCAAGGCCGCCAAACCAGAGTATTAGCTAGGACTTCAAAAGTCTTCCTAGGAGGCAGAGGAAAAGGAGGTTCATTTCCGAACCAGGCAACCCTGAGTGATGGCCTCGGTGGATGGAGGGAGGGGCTTTCCTGTCTCCTCGTTCCCTCCAACCTGCCCTCCAGCAGGTGGGTCTGTTTATTCCTGGCAGCAGGAGCCTCCCTGGGGGATAATGGTGCCACCGCATAGCCTCCCTCCCTCTCTCCCCCCTCCTTACCTCCTTCCCTCCCTCCTTCCCTCCCCCCTCCTTCCTTCCCTCCCCCCTCCTTACGTCCTTCCCTCCCTCCTTCCCTCCCCCCTCCCTCCCTCCATGGGCTTCCTGGCCTCTGAGTAGATTCTCCTGACCCTTCTCAGCCCCGGAAGTGGGGTTCAGGGTTTTTCTTGGGCTGGGCCCTGGAAACCTACCCCGTCATCAGCTTTCAATCCCGTGACGCACCGCGCTGTGTCATATGTGCTTGCGCTTGGATAATTTGGGGTTACCATCTTCAGTTTCCTTCCTGCGGTGACAGGGTCTGAGATGTGATAAATGTTGGTTAGACAAAGGTCAGTCATCCCATTTATCTTTGACAAGGGTACCAAGGAACCGTTCTTTCAAGAGATGGATCTATAGGTGTCCTCCCGACCCCCCCCCCCAGGCTGACATTTCCTAAATGCTTACTGTGTGTCAGACACCGTTCTAGTGGTGTTCCGTGGGTTTTCCCCACGGAATCCGTTCTTTCCACGTCCATTTTAAAGATGAGGAAGCTGAGGCCTAGGGAGGAAAAGTAACATGCCAAGGCTGGGAAGCTGTGGAGACACAGAGGTCAGAATTGTTTCTGCTTCGCACGCTGCCTCGAGTCCAGGCACTTAAACCTGCTCTCACCTCACGTCCCCCAGGAGGGGGGCTTCCAGCT